GAATGGACCTCTACTATTAAAAATCTTCCTTTACAAAAAGCTACAGGCCCTTCAGAAACTAGCTATAAGCATATCAAATATATAGGCTCTAAAGGCAATATATTCTAAGACAATTTATTAGTTGTTGCCTCAAACTTCAAAAAGTTCTAATAGTATAGAAAATATCTAATATCTTTTTAATTTCAAAAAAGGCTACTTAGAATTATATATTAAACCAAGTATGACCTATTTCAATCTTAGAACCTCTTAAAAAGTATCTCACCAAAATCTTTACTCAATGTCTTGATAAAATTATCTCTCAACACAAACTACTCTCAAATCTCAACTTTGCTGCTACAAAAAACTCTTCGACTCATATTCCTATACAAATTCTTCACAATACTATTGAACATTACAAACTTCACAAAAATGAAGCTTGAATTCTTTTTCAAGATATGTCTAAAGTATTTGATAAAATTAACATCTCTCAGCTTCAAGATACTTGTAAAAGAATTGGAATCCTATCTCAAAGTATAGATTTGATCACAGAACTACACATACAAAGACAAGCTCAAATAATTACTGCCTTTAGACTTACTTCCCCTGTTAATATCAGATCTGGTATTGAACAGAGTAAAACTTATTCTCCTTTATTATGGAAAATATACTATAACCTTATACTTATCTTTAAACATAACAAATACCAAAATTCCTTTTTTAAAATTCAAACTTCCTCTCCTCTTGAAACAATATCTCAACATCAATCTATAGCTATAACTATTTTTCTATTAACCTATATGGATGATACTACTTGGCATACTAAAAACTTTTAAACTATGCAAGATATTCTTAATATTACTAACTATTTATACAAACTTAACAATATAGAAATTAATCCAACTAAATCAGATCTCTTACACATTTTCTCCAAATCAAAAAAACAATAACCAAACTATCAACTTAAATATAATGATTAAATAATTATACCTCATAAACAAACAGAAATTATAAGATATCTTAGAATATTTTTTTGATAGCTAAGGCTCTTCTCAACCTATATATAATACTATCTTTAACAAAATAGAAAACTTCTTATCACTTACTCAATACAAAAAACTCACACCAACTCAAATCTCTAAACTATTTAATCTAATATTACTACTTTCTCTTGAATAACTTCTATAAATAATTACTCTCTTCTATATCTAGAAATAAAAACTTCTACAGGTCTGGAATCATCATAAAATTTAATTGTAATTTTTTGTGAAAATAATTCTATTGATTCACAAATTAAAGATTCTATAATATAAATAAAATCATCAAGAATTTGAGCAGCTATATTATATGAAATTGAAGAATTTAAAGCAGGAGAAGAATTTGATAAAGAAGAAGGAATTTGAAAGAATTCAAGTTCACGTTGAAGTTCATGTAATGATACTGGCATTATTTTTGCCAAAGAATCAGTAGTAGTGGGGATAGTAGATTGATTAGTTGAATAATCATGATCTAAAGATGTGATAGAAGATTTTAAAGAATTTTTGGAAATATGATTACGAAAATTATTAGCTTTTGGCCAAAGAATTCTACCAGTACGATAAAATTCTAGGATGTAACGAAACGCGTAGCCATTTCTATCGAAAAAATATTCATTATTATGATTATGGAGGTTGGAAGGTTGAAGTAAAGAGTCATTACGCGGTTGAAACATTGTGCCGAGAAATGTTTGAGGATATGCTAGGAGAGTTGATCTATACGTTTCGTACTAATAAAAAAGAAATAAATTTTAGTGGTAGGTACATGTAATCAGATAATCGTGATCAGATCAGATATATTACTCTGATACCGCCAACATTTAGGATTATTCTTTTATCAGATGAGAAAAGTTGCTTATTCGAATCACACATTTGCTTGGGTGAAATGCGATATGGATATTTATGTATCGTGTTACGGCTATTCCTCACCAGAAAAGGAAATAATGATAAAAAGAAAAGTCTGATTTGCATATGGCAGCACACAAAAATAACAAAAAAATTGGGGAAAGTTTTGATGAAAAATTCATTAAACAAGCATTAATCAAGGAGACCACAGGGAATCAAAAAGATCAAAGAGGCGAGAAAGAAACCAAAATGATAAATAATTACGTGAAAAACCAAGTCGCGTTTGTACACGCATAAGATATATATATATTATTAACAATTACCAAGTAAACAAAAACATATTTAAGACTATTCTATTTCAGTTTTACAATCACATACACCAACAGCCGTTAACAATTACGACAAAAGGCATGCAACGGATTAATAACGTACATAACAGATAATAATAGAGTGATCAAAGGTTGATTAATTTAATTACTATAAAAATAGTTGCATGCATTAAATAAAAGTATCACGTGGGATATATATTTCCATATGATTTTTTGAAAGTACTAATTTAGAAAACTATTGTACACAATATATATATTTTTATTTTTAATATTTACTTTTAATATTTAAAATACTTATCTCTACGTATCTTGCTAAAACATTTTAGATAAGACTTATGTATGTAAGTACTTATTAAAATTAAAAAAAAAAATCTTTACAATTGCATGCTTATAATTCTAGGCGAAGGAGGGTAACGAATAATTTTTCAAAGATCGTTATCATCAAATATAATTTCCCTAAAAAGATTAATTAGCCCACATTTAACAAATTATAAAAAAACAATGATTAGGTTTGTCATTTCTTTTTTGGAACATTGTATGAAAACCTTTTTTTTTTTGTTGATTATTTTTACGTGTTACATAGCTTGATTTATTTAAGAATTTTAGAGATTCAGATTTAGAATCTTTAAAAAAAAATCAAAGATAAGATATAGATCGACATTGAAGAAAGAGGAATTATTTGGGCTTTGAGAACCAAGCCTTATCTCTATGAAAGATTTGTAAAAATTTGTAAAAATTTGAAAGATTTTCGTTAGGCTAATGTCAAAAAATTAATTTTTTCAAATACGTTTTATTTTCCCGTCATTTAATATTGTATATGACATCAAAAAGAGTAGAAAAAGAAAGGGGTTGACGTATTCGGTATCGGTATCATGGTATTTTTTGATATCAATACTATCAATACAGCAATATCGATATCTAAAAGGGTTAGAAATTCCGAAATCATGAATACTAACAGGTTTTACAGGGTTCATTTTTCTGTATCAGTTCAAAAGATTTTATTGTTTCTAAAAAGAATTTCAACTGAAACCTCCAAAATCGGACTTTTTAAACCAGAAAAGGTTAACCAATGTTGAATTGCATTCGATGATCAAATGAAAATTCACCCTGTTGTTTCATAGATCTTCATATTACAAGGCGTAAAATAAATTCAAATTCCATATTTAAAAATGATGTCAAGGTTAAAAGGTATGAACTAGTTTTGCTACTTTTTAAGCTTATAAACGTACGTACCTACGTACACATCGGTATGTTTGGTTCTCCCTTGTTTCGTAAAGCTCCTGTTACATATAACATTAAATTTAAATCCTAATTATTATAATTTTATCATCAAATTTATCATTGACGTTTTTTTTTTTTTCTTAAAAAAAAAAAAAAAAAAGATCTGTTTGTTTATATGGTACGGTCAGGCTTATGTTGGATTATCTTTAGCTATTCTGACGAACGGTTAATTTCAAGTAAAGGTGATAAAATCGATGATCGATGAAAATCAATCTCAGCCAGATCACCAACTATGAAAATTTTTTTAGAATCCCCTATTTATTCTTTGATTACTTAATCTAAATTGGAAAAATAAGAATGCAAAGGAGAATTAGTGTTTCCCGGACTTACATTTTGTTTACATTAACTCCTTTGCACAAGGTAAAATTTCGGTCAAATTTACATTCGTTAGGATAATACTTAAAATTAGCATCACGTTACATTTTTTGTGATCCCACCATAACTACTACTATAAAAAATCGTCGTATAACGTATCTCCATGAGCAATTAATATATTATTAATAAACACACGATAAACAAACGAACAATGATGCCATACGCATAACCTTGAAATAATTATCAAATTTGGTTGATCACAAAGAAATCGGGTTTTGTGATATTGTGGTGGTTGTGGCTTATACACTCGCATTACATAGTACATACCATACAGGAGTACTTTGTGACCTTTGTTTATGTTCTTGTTCTCCGTATAAATATCTTTCCTTTTATTCATTTTGCTTTTTGAAGGAATCCTCAATTTTTTTTCTTTTTTTTTTTTTTTTTTGTTTTTAAAAAGGACATTATATTAAATTTAATCGTTTAATATTTTTTATTTTTTTTTATTTTTTATTTTCTTCCATCAAAAAACAATCTTTCTTCTTTCACGACCCTCTGTAAAATATTTTCACGAAAAAAAAGAATATTATATATATATATAAATAAATACACAATTTTCCTTTGATTTCTTTGTTAAATATAACGAAGTGATCAAAAAAAAAAAAAAAAAAAAGAGTTACCCATCCCATACAATCTTCAACATTAACCTTTTTGTGTTATATTTTTTTTTGTCATATATTTTTCACACAACAGACCATAATAACAAAGCTGGCTTTGTTCTAAAAAAATTTTATTTTTTTGGCATATTTTCATATCTTCATATCTTTCTTAATTATCCTTTTTAATACACTTTAATACTATTTGTTTAATAATCATTCTTTGTATTCTCATTCTTAAAGAAAAAGAAAAAAAAAAATGACAACCTCAGCTTCTGCGATTGATCTTACTTACATTTATAAACTTTCAATCATTAAAATAAAATCTATTGGTAGTAATCAATCAACCAATAATCCAAATATTCGTAAAGAAAATAATAATCATTTACGTAAATTAGTTTTAATTAATACTTTTATTGAACGTAAAATGGCTTTTTATGAAAAGATTTTATTATCAAAGCAACGTTTCTCTCATATTAATACTTCGGAAAATATTGTTGATAATGTTTATCATCGTCCGATCTCTTCTCCGATATCTTCATCTCCAATCTCTTCTCCGATCTCATCTCCGATTTCTCCTCCTCCTCCTTATACTCCGATACCTACTTTTATTCCTATTCATTTACCTTCACCAAATTCTTCTAAAATTATGGTTAGAATGTCTCAACAACAATATCAACAACAACAACAACAACAACAACAACCACGTAGACGAGTAACATCAAAAAACAATTTTGTAAATGATTATAATAATAATAACGATATCAAAAATGATTATTATGATATCAAAAATGAATTTGTAAATGAACATCATAATAATTATAATCATAATAATCATAATAATAATAATAATAATAATAATAATAATAATAATTATAATAATAATAATAATAATAATAATAATAATAGTTACAATTACAATGGTATGAACAAGAAATATCATAAATATCTACAAATTCAACAAATTCAACATCAACAATATACACCTAAAAGAAGACAACAAAATTATCATCAACAACAAAGACAACAACAATACCATCAAAGACGTAATAATAATAATAATAATGAATTTAATCAAATGTTTATTCCTGTACAAGTTTGTACTCCTCCAAATGGAAATAATGTTAATCAAAAAGTTCAGAGAATTTTAATTCCAATAGCTGCTGCTGCTGCTACTACTTCTTCTTCACGTCATCATCATGGTGTTGTTCACAATAATGGTCATCAATTTATACATATTCCTCCTCCACCAAAATATTCTCCTGGTTTGCCTTCTCCAAATCAATTTCATCTTGTGAAATTGGTTAAAAATCCTGTTATGAATTATTGAATTTCATCGAGAGATTTAAGATATTTAAGATATATAAGGGTGTATGGTGTTTAAGAGATCAATTAAATATAAGAGATCAATAACAAGAGATTACGAGAATTATAAGAGATCGGAAGCGAACGAAGCTGAATATTTCTTTTTCTTTTTTTTTTTTGATGAGAACTAGCAGGCTAGAAAAAAAAACAAAAAAAAAACTAGGGTTAGTTTATCATTATTGGTATTTCATTATACATTTTTTTTAAATCATTTTTTAAATAGCATAGACTTTTTTTTTTCTTCTTTTTTTTCATTTTCTTTCTTTTGTAAGTATCATAAAAAAAAAATCATTCTTGAAAATACTTAGGTGTAAAAAAAAAAAAAAAAAAAAAAAAAAATCGGTTTGGGCAAAAATTCGGTGGTGTGCATTTTCTTTTTTTGTTTATATGTTTTTTTTATTTGAAAAAATTTCTTTAAAAAAAAAAAAAAAAATTTTTTTAAAAGTACGTTTTTATTTGTTTAATTTTTTTTTTTTAAAAAAAAAAAAAAAACTTTTTTAAACTATTTTGTTATTTTAGCATAGGTTTAATTGGTTTTTTTTGTTGTTTATATTTTTCTTGTTCATTTTAGATTAATAAAAAAAAAAAAAATTTTTAATTGTGTATAACCAAACATGTGATCTGTATACTTAATAGTTAAATACTAAATTAACTTTATTTTGAAGAATAACTTTATTATAATTACATTGATAAAAATTGAGTAATATAATATATAATTAAGCAATATTAAGCAATATATGTTAAGATAACAACTTATTGGTATACATATCAAAATTTAATAAGACGCAAACAATTAGAAAACGATGCTTTACTATAATTACATATAGTATCCAGATTATTGAACTCCAACATATTCACTTCGTCTGTTATTACGCTTTCTACGATTTGTTTTTCTTTCTGAATCCATCATCAAAATTACCAATCTAGTGAATATACCAATAAGATCAATAAACAAGTCTAGTGTATGGCTTACAACATCACGAGATCCCAATCGAGAAGCACGATAGATGATTAATTGAGTATCATATATGACTGTGAAAGATAAAAATTAAAAAATATTATTATTATTTGAAAAATTATTATTGTAATTAATTGATAGCGAATAGTAATGTAGTTATAAAGTTCTTTACCATATAAACAAAACACTCCCAATCCTAAATAGAGCTCAACAGAAAATAGAGCCGTGGAACCGACGAACGAATTAATCAATGAAATCCAAAGTAACATCGAAAGTGTAGACCCCAATATTCCTCCAAGATATATAAAGGCTCTCTGATTACTCAAAATAGACGCTAACGTGAAAGAACCAAATATTAAAAAGGTCAAGACGCAGGCATTAATCACGATCCGCTCACTGTAAAATAAATGAAAGTGTAAATACATGAAATAGTATAAAAAAAAAATATATATATATATATACTATAGAATAAAATAAAATTTTTACCAATTAGGAATCATTAGAGTAAGGTCAATAAGAGGCCCAATTGAAAGACCTTCCATAAATGCAAAGTTCTAAAGGATAAAAGAAAAATAAAAGAAAAATTCGAATTGAGTTTAATTATGATTCAAACAACTTAAAATTAAATAAAAATTTAAATAAGAATTTTAAGGAATGTTAAAAGACATACATATAACAACCCGTAACGTATAGTTTTGTTTTGCGGAGTATCAGGCATAACCATAATACCTATTAAAGATCCAAGCCCTACTAATAAAGACAAGATACCACCCTAAAGTTATTTAAAAGAATAAAAGTTATAAGTTTTTAAATATGATTAAGGCAGAGATCCGTAAAAAAAACATACACCGAACAAGAACAAATTGTGAGCATGAGCAAAAGAACCAGCCGCAGTAACCAAACAAACAGTACTGAGAGTTAAGTAAACTTTAAGCAAGTGTTGTTTAACAGGTTTGCTCAGATCTTGCATATTTTTAAAAGCTTCAAAGGGAGAAAAGTCCCTTAGACCAGAATATTGAGACTGAAAATGCGACATTTGACGATTGAGAATTTTTTTTTTTTTTTTTTATCGATTATAAAAATTTAAGTTTACAAAACAGAAAGAGATTTTTTTATTTATTTATAAATATAAAATTAAATTTCTTTTTAAACTTGAATAACCTGAATAACCAGAATACGCTAGAATTAATGGGAAAAAAAAACAATTACAATCACGTGATTTGGAAAATTAGGTAATTATCTAATTATCTAACGATAATTCACATGACTTTCTCATCGATCTACAACCATTATAATTACGAAACAAGCAGCCAATGCTATAATTGTCAATATTGAACCCAATACAACACTACCTCTACTAGCAGGGAAATGACCTTTAGTCATAAGATATTGGGAATTAAAATATCTAAGTAAACCAAATCCAAGAAAAATAATTCCCAAGATTATAAAAGCTATTCCTAACCCTTTACCAACTTTATCATCTCTATGTGTTGGATCGGTTACTCCTGTTAACCTAAATAATTGTGTAATCGCTAGTAATAATAATGAAAAAAAAAAAAAAAAATTAATAAAAAGAAAATAAATAAATAAAAAATAAAAAATAAAAAATATATAACCTACCTACTCCAATACTTATGAATGAAAGAGACGTTCTAAGCCATGCGAGGAAAGTTCTTTCGTTTGCTTATAATATCAAACAAAATAAGTTAAAAGTCTTTGATTCTTGGCAAAAGATAGTTAAAAATAGAAAACAAAAAAGATGATATTCACCTAAGTGGTCTCTAGCAACACTTGCAGTGTTTTCCAATACTAATGATGGATTATACTCTTCAATTTTTTTCCTTATCCAAGTTTTATGAGAAGATTTATCAGACCTGCTTGTAAGTATATTATCGTTGTTCATCTTAAGGAAATTTTTGGATAAAGGAGGTGTGCGAGGAGGAACAGTATCATATGGGTCATTATTATTATTATTATTACCGATAGAACTGGAACTGCATAATGTAACTGGCATTTTTATTGTGTCTTTATTACGTATTTATCCGTGCTAAAAAAAAAAGTATATATATAAATAAATAAGATAAAAAAAATATATAAATATTATCTATTTTCTATTGAGCAAAGTTAAACTCTGCAAAAATCATGATACGTATGGTTTATATAATCTGGTAAAAGTAAAAAACAAAAAAAAAAAAAAAAAAGTAAGTTTTCTTCAGCCTTTTATCCTTTAATAACTTTTAAAGAGCGCCTCATATCGTCCCACAAAAAAGTTATGATAATTTTAAGAATGTGCATTGTTTCGAAGTGATACATCACAATCTGTTAATACATTATTATATATTATATAATATATATTATACGTCGTATTATTATTATATTTTATTATATTATCAAAGCACTAAACTAAAGATATAAAAGTGTTCGCTAATAGCCGTATATAGTGATAGATAGACTAATTACAGTAAAAGTTGAAGCAAAACGATAAAAAAAAATTGAGAAACGTTTAAAAAAGTTGAAAATTAGCAAAAAAAAATAGCCAATTCCAAATCTTACCAATTTTAATAATAATAATCAGATATCGTTACATATAGCAAAATCGGCAAGCGATCTATCCCTTTCGTTAAACTTTCACTTTACGATATGCAAGAATAAATACTGTAAATAATAAAGCAGTATTTTTTG